CTTTCCGCCTTACGGGTGTTTGTCTAATATGAAAATCTCTCTAATGCGGGTTATTTTCTAATACTGACACCCGGAGATAGATAGATTATTTAATAAGTTACCTTGCAGTTTTACACTGAATTGCGCAACTTTTACAAAAAATTTACAACTTAACTACTTTACTAACTAAAATTTCTTTAAGAGTCAAAGTCTTATTTTAAAAGTTATAAAATCTATATTGTTAGAGATTTTAATAATAATCTACACTAATCATAAAGTGTGTTGGTACTACCACGCATAATAAATGAGTCCGAGAATATTTTTGTTCTTACTAGTGGTAGTGAAAATTTCCTATTTTTCCTTAGATTGTATTTAGGGTTTTTGTTAGCACTTGGAATCAGGTGATGGATTTTATTTTTTGGGTTCTCGGATATGGACTGGAACAGTTTCTTTGTAATTGTGCTGTGGTGGTCTTTAATAGGGGGTATTTCCGCCAATACCAAAGCATCAGAATAAGGTATTCCTGGGAAAATGCACGCTAAAGCTCATACTGTCACCCCTCTCAAATATGGACATCTCGCTTACACGGTCACCATTCTAATACGGACATCTTTCTTATACACGGTTTTCTCTCTAATTCGTTCACGGGTTTTTCTTTAACACCTCTCTGTTGCGGACACCTTTCTAATACATACAATACTCTGATACAGACACCTCTCTAATACAAACACCTCCTAATACGAACAACTCGCTAATACGCACAACTCTCTAATACGAACACCTCTCTAATACGAACAACTCGCTAATACGAACAACTCGCTAATACGAACAACTCGTTAATACGAACAACTCGCTAATACGAACAACTCGATAATACGAACAACTCGCTAATACGAACAACTATCTAATACGAACAACTCGCTAATACAAACAACTCTCTAGCTAATATGAACAACTCGCTAATACGCACAGTCCTTTAATACAGACACCTTTCTAATACGCGGGACACCTCTCTAATACGGAAACCTCTAAATACAGACACATCTCTAATACGGACACCTCTCTAATACAGACACCTCTCTAAAACGGACACCTCTAAATACAGACATCTCTCTAATACGGACACCTCTAAATACAGACACCTCCCTAATACGGACACCTTTCTAATACAGACACTTTTCTAATACGGACACCTCTCTAATACGAACAACTCGCTAATACAAACAACTCGCTAATATACGCACAATCCTCTAATACAGTCACCTTTCTAATGCGGACACCTCCTAATACAGATATCTTTCTAATACAGACTTCTCTCTAATACAGACTTCTCTCTAATACGGACACCTCTCTAATACAGACACCTCACTAATACGGACACCTCTCTAATACGGACACCTCTCTTATACAGGCACCTCTCTGATACGGACACCTCTTAAGACGGACACCTTTGAAAAATGACACCTCTATAATACAAACACCTCTCTAATTTAGACACCTCTCTAATACAGACACCTCTCAAATACAAACACCTCTCTAATTTAGACACCTCTCTAATACAGACACCTCTCAAATACAAACACCTCTCTAATTTAGACACCTCTCTAATACAGACACCTCTCAAATACAGCACATCTCTAATACAGACACCTCTCTAATACAAACACCTCTCTAATACAGACTCCTCACTAATGCAGACACATCTCTAATACAGACACCTCTCTAATACAGACACTCTATAACACGGACACCTCTCTAATACGGACGCGTCTTAATACAGACACTCTCAAATACAGATACCTCTCTAATGCAGACACCTCTCAATATGGACACCTATCTAATACAGACACTTCTATTTTACCGACACCTCTTAATAAGGATACCTCTCTTATACGGATACGTTCCTAATACGGACAACTCTTAACACCGACACCTCTAAATAAGAATACCTCTATAATACAGACATCACTTATATACGGACCTGTCCCTAATACGGACAACTCTCTAATACGGACAACATTCAGATACAGTCATCTCTCTACTACAGTCACATTTATAATACGGTCACCTTTCCAATACTAGCAACCGCGTATGGGAATGAAAAATATTTGTGGAAAGGGATATTTTGCTCTGTTCCTTTCGTTTCTGGGATATTGCAGCAGTTCAAGTTCCCTATTTTAGATGCGCTTTTAAATCAACAACCCCAATATACGAAATTACAGTATATATCTAACAGCTTGTTTGCCGTACTCAATAAGCAAGGGGATATTTGCTTGCTTGGACTTATGTCATTGGTATAAAAAATCACAATAAAGACAGCAGATGCAAGTTCATGTAAACAGGAAGTTAGGAAGTACTTTTGCCCGGCCATACAATTATTATGCTAATCAACAGCGTCAGTTGCGATTCTTAAATATTCATTTTAAAGATTTTCTTACGGCTCATTGACTCTCAAATTACTTTACGTATAATACATGGCATCGTAAATACCAAAATCGAATATTTTATATAATTACACAATAATTATTCAATAAATGAAAACAATCCCAAACTATATCTGCACTCAGATCATCGTTAATACCAATATACGCACCTTTAAATGGATAGGCAATCGAGCCGGTGTTGACTGAATATTTAGTTTTGTGGAATCAAGTATTAATAGTGCTATATATTATAATTGTTATAATTTGTCAGAAAGAATTAAGATCTTTGCTTGATACGATCGGCTATTTGTTTTGGTATGCATACACTGGCATACATATCTTTATAATTCTATAGCGGGATGAAGTTGTAGAATATACAGTAGTTCGGTGGATTTAAAACATACAGTCAAAATTAAGACTACTCATACTGTATTATGACATAAATGAGAAATATCGCAGCAATGACGATGTCTCAAGGGTATAGCTATACTATAGGCTCTCGCATGTGAACGAGGCATTATTTTTCACTGGAAAACCAGTACGTATACATGGCCTGTAGCTATAGAAGAT